TCTCTCTCTCTCTCTCTCTCTCTCTCTCTCTCTCTGTAGCAACGGATCAAATTCTCCTCGGAGCGGATAAGAAAGTTACGATCGGTAACGTCAGTAACATCTTTCCATTTGCAGTTGGTTCGAATCGCGTCGAATTTGGACGGCTGCTCTGGTGGTCGGTGAAATTTGCGAAACGCCGAGCCACTGGCGGCAATCGAATACGCTGTCCAGCTGGATGAAGAAACAAAACATTCCAGGCATATACGAGATCGATACCAGAGCTCTGACAAAAATCATTCGCGAGAAAGGCACGATATTAGGCAGGATCGTGTACGGACCGCCGATTTCTAATCCCGTTCCGTCGTTGATCCCTCCGATAGCCGATCCGAACAAGAGAAATCTGGTCGCGGAAGTGGTTCAGGTGCGTAACGACCAACAGTTGAATGAAAATGTAAACTGATTAATTATCGAGCACTGTGATTATTAATCATTATTATCGATTATTTAATAATTGAATGAATAATTATACGATGAAAGTAATCCGTTCAAATCATGTAATATAATTCATACAATTATTAAACAGGCCTGAACATTGTTCATCATTAGTTATATTATACTATAGTGTATTACTTATAGTTATAGCTACTAGATATATTATATCAGTTACTTCTCTGAACATCGTTTATGATGTAATATATATTATAGTTATAGCTATTATAGTGCATTAGTGCATATATTGTATAGTCATAGTATTGTATACATTAATATTATACTGTATTACATTAATATTATACTGTATTACATACTGTAATACATTAATATTATACTGTATAACTACTGTAATATATTAATTATAATATACTGTATTATAATATAATATTAATTATAATATAGTAATATTATATATAATATACTATATTATATAATATAAATATAATATTACTATAGTATAATACTACTATGTAATATAATATTGTAATATTATATTATTATATTATACTATATTAATATTAATTAATTAATAATATTATATTATTATATTATACTATATTAATATTATATTAATATTATTTTATTATTACTATTATATTATAATTCTATATATTCTATATATTATATAGAATATATTCTATATATTCTATATACTATTTTATTATTCTATACTATATATTCTATATACTATTTTATTATTCTATACTATATATTCTATATTCTATATTCTATGTTCTATATACTATTACATTATTATACTATTATATTATTGATTATTTATTGATTATATTCAATAGATACTTAATCCTATCTCGCGATTTGAATGCCACTTTTTCATTCGCCATTGATTATCGATCATTGAATTTCAGCCTATACAAAGGACGTACAATTCCGCTGGTTATCCCCGCATATGCGTAATAGATTGCGGTCTAAAGTACAATCAATTGAGGTGCTTGATTAGTCGAGGTGCTCGCGTGGACGTCGTGCCTTGGAATTACGATTTAAGCAAAGCCACTTACGATGGCCTGTTCCTCAGCAATGGACCCGGCGATCCGAGCATGTGCAAAACCACGGTGGAAAGTATACGATCCATTCTGAAATCGGAAACGCAGAAGCCGATTTTCGGCATCTGTTTGGGACATCAGTTGCTCTGCATCGCCGCTGGTTGCATCACATACAAGATGAAGTACGTACATCCTAATCGCATGGATATGCAAATAGAACTCAATGTCAGAGTGTTCAATGTTTAGAGACATACAGAGTGTATCAATACGTTCATAAGATGCCTTTTTCCCCTTTATTTTATATTTCTGTACGCTATTGGGCTGATAAATTCTTTGTTATCGCTTATGTTTCTTTTATGTTTTGCTGTAATATTGACATACCTATTTATGATATAAAAACATACTACGTGTTTCTAAAATACTGTTCGACAAGTTTAAAATAATGAAGGAATAGGAAGCAAAGGAATTTTACTGTAATTTTCTGTGACAAAATTGTGAATTGATTATTTTCACTACTCTGGTAGTTCGATAGTAATAAATACGCGTGTAGAATATTCAAAGAACTTCCTATAATGTTCGTTAATTAAAACAATTTTCCATCCACGTGCCATTTTAAATTACATTTCCAAAAATACG